GATTTGTTCTGAGTTTCTTCAGGTTACTGGCTAGTTTAAATGCATTTGAAGACCAGGGCTGAATGAGATGATAAAATGACACCTTTTTATTTAGCAACACAATGTGATCTATATATTGAGTCTGGTTTTGGATTCTGATTTCTTATTTTATAGGGTCAAATGTCCTGATTTACCCTTTATATATCTCTATGAACTACTCTTTGGTATATATGCAAATCTTGCATGCCAGCCACTTTGTTTTGGCATTTATTTACCAGTTGAATACTAAATGCTCCCACTCAAAGAGTACAGTACTCAAGAGAACTCTGGATAGCATTTGGAATTTAGCTTACCTGTCATGAATATTCATTCTAATATGTAACCAGTCCACTTCAAGATTTGGACAGTAAAAGTACACTGTTGTTCAGAAGGTTGTATAACTGAGGTGTCCAATTCCTTCTTTTTCCAGCTGAGTGTTCTTAAGTACGCTCAGTTAAACCCCAAAGTATAGGTAAAGCAGCCCAACACTATTACCTACTAGGCATCCAGCAGGTTGCTGCAGGAAGAATCTTTATGGAATAATGGAAGGAAGGATGGAACATCTACATAGGGGAAGGTTCCTACTCTCACTGAACAGCCGGAGTGTGGGGGCAACGACCCAGGGGATGTGAAGTTTCCATTCCTGCAAAGACCAAATACTCAGCTAACAGTGTCCTGGCCAAGCATAGCTCTGGGATGCTCTAAATGTGTCACTGCTGCTGGTCTTTCTCTCAGTTCACTGGGCCCAAGGGGGTGTCTGAGAATTCTTTGGAGTCAGAAATAAAGTTAAAAAAAACCTTTGGATCCTGTGCCCTTCTTCACAGCACTTGGGTTTCTCTTTGTTTTAAATTTTATCCTTTTATTGCTTCCATAATAATCCTCAATATCCACGAGGAATTTCCTAATAACCCATTATACTTAGAACCCAAGCGGCAATAAAAAATGGTTTATCCTCTCCTGGAGAGTAAGTAGGGTTCAAGCTTTAGAAAGATGATGCTTGCTCTTGTAAGATATTTTCATTGAGGATGGATAATACCCAAATTTGAGGATTAGTCAATTGGCTTCTTAATGTTAACATCTACAATGACAACAACAACCAAAGGAGAATAACTAGCTGGATTTCATATTATAAAATAGGGTGAATAGTCTACGCTCTGCAGCATTCAAACAAAGGATACATAGGACAATGAAAAATTATATAAATAGTCATTTCAATATCAAATAAATTACTAAAATAGGTAAATTATAATAACTAGACATAAACTCCACTGGTATTTATTGTGTATCCACCAGTGTCAGACTTAGTCAAATACATTACTTAATTGTATTTACTCCTTACAAAATTCCTGTGAATTAGTTATTTTGAGACCCATTTTAAAGATGAGCACACCAAAGGCTCAGAGATGATAAATAGGTTGGCCTAAGGTCAGACAGTTATTACCAAGTGCTTTTAAAAATACTGTGCTAAAATTGGTATTTGAACCCAGGTTTTCTAGCTTGTGTTTAGTGCCCTTTCCATTATGCCACACTTAACGTGTTATCCTGCTGTTCAGCTATCTAATATTAGGCTTTTGCTTCATTCTCTGTATCTCTCTTCATATACACACATACATACATACTTACATATTTCCAAATATGACATGGAATCATATTATCATCAGAATATTGTAGCTGATGAGCCACAAACTCTGTGTCAGGTATGTTGGTCTTACTCCAGCTCCACATTCCTTTTCTTCCTACAAAAAGTAAAGAGTTCTATTCCACTTTTATTCCCCTAAATGAAGGTTTCCTAACCTCCACTTTATTGACATTTTGGAGAAGATAATTCTTTGTTGTGGGGAGCTGTCCAGTGCATTGCAGGATGCTTAGCAACATCTCTGGTCTCAATCTACTAGATGTCAGTAGCACCACCCAGTGTGACAATCAAAAATGTCTCCATAATCACTGCCAGATATCCTTCGGGAAGCAAAACTGTTCCCAATTGAGAATGACTGCTCTAAACTTAAAATGAAAGTAACTAAATAAAAGTGTAGTCCCTCTGCTCTGTTTCTTCCCTGCATATTAGAGACTTTAAAGTCTCTAATTAGTTTATTTAGGCTTTATATTAGTCAGAACAAGTCAAGTTTAGGCTGTGGTAGCAAACAATGCCAAAATTGGCTTAACACAATGAGCTGTTAGCTCTCTGGGCTGCTGTCCTCCCTGAGTTAGGTTACCATCCAGGTGACTTCAGCTCCTAGAAGCTCAGCATCCACATGTTCCTTCATGCTCATTGCAGCAGGGAAAG